GTATTGAAATACTAGAACTCAATCGAACTCTTGAACAAATGAACTTAACAGATGTTTACAGAGTGTTCCATCCCACAAAATCAGAATACACATTCTTCTCAGCTGCACAAGGATCATTCTCCAAAATAGACCACATACTCTCACATAGAACATGTTTAAGTAAGTGCAAAGGAATTCAAGTTATCCCCTGTATATTATCAGACCATAGTGAGATGAAATTGGAGATCCATAGCAAAAGAAACTGGAAAAATTTCAGAAACATGTGGAAATTGAACAACACACTTCTGAATAACCAATGGGTCACAGAGGAAATTAAAGAAGAAATCAGACAGTTCCTTCAATTAAATGACAATGACAATACAGCATATCAGAATCCATGGGACACAAAGAAAGCAGTATAATTTTCATAGTACAATGCTGGGTAGAGGAAGAGAGAAATTTAAAGTTGGATATTAATTTTCAGATTGGAAAATGAAAAGTTCCGAAGATCTTTAATGTCGAGTGTTTCAGTACAAGGTAAATGTAATTAACATCATTGAAATGCATACAATGTGTTTTGTTATGTGTATTTTACTCCAAAAATGAAATTAAAACAGATAGATATTTAAACATTATATACAATTAACAGAAGTGATTAGGACACATCAACTTTATCTAAGTAGAGGAAGAACCCAAGACCTCTTGTAGACATTTCTTTATTTATTATCTCCTTTGTCATTAGATTGGAAAGTCCTTAGAGATTGGAATGGCATGGGCCAATTTGGCTAATTATAAGCTCCGTGCATGGAGCCTCCAATGTCATATAGCTGTCAATAATTTTCTTCTGCCTTCCACCCTTTCATTTGATGACTCCAGTCCAGTGAGTTTCATAGCTATATCACAGTCTCTATACTAGTCTGAATCATAAAGTTGCTATCTGAATTTGTATTACTTTTAATCTTGAGGACAAAACCTGAGCCTTTATTGGGCAACAAATGTAGGAGGGTGTTTGGGTCTGCTCTCATCGACTATGATACAGCAGAGAAACAGCATCACCCTGTAAGTGCAGAGGTAAGTCATGAATATGGGAATGATTCTTAAATATTGTTTTCTCACTGTAAGGGCAAACATGACAGTTTGGGTAGTCACATGGTAAAGAATAAATATCAAAGTACCAGTTTAAAAAATGGAATTTTTTTTGTTCTTGGTGATAGTGGGAGAGGCAGAATTACTATTTTAAATTTGCTTTCTATAAATTGTTTTTTGATTGGTGTCTCACTCATGATAATGGAAAAGAAGTCCCCCTGCAGTGTTTCCTAAGCACTCCAAAGGGGTTATGAATGTGATGGTAAGGGTGTAGAGGAGGAGGATAGTAACCATATGGTCATGAACTGGTTTGGAAGGCTTCCTGCATTCCAGACACTGAGCCTGCATTGTACGTAGCTTGTTTTATTTCTTCTGTTTTGTTTCCCTATGTTTACAAGTCACATTATTATTGCATATAGAAATGGAAGACCCTGTAACTTTAACAAAATCTGAGTAGGTTGTAGGATAGAACTGATTACAGACACAGAGCACTGAATATCAATCCTGGCAGACCATTCCCTTAACAACACAAGCAAGCATTTCACTTCCCTGGTGTTCCAGGAAAAGATGCCTGTGGTCTTCCGTTTGGGGGTCCCTGTTAGCTCATAGAACAGAACAGGGTGTGGTACCAGGATAGACAAAGATCACAGGCAATGATCACAGCAAGAATATACATTTGGCAATTCACCACATATTTCTCTTCTGCCACCAGTGCACTGTATTCTTTCAGCTTTACAAATCATTTTTGTGCATGTGATTATCTCATACAATATCACTTGGGGACATGTAAGATCTGAATTAAATTTTCATTTAGTGAACAAGAGAGTTAAATAATGTATCTCAGATGTTCCTTTGGTCAAAACTTCATTATATCTGCTTAAACATTTCTGTTGCTTAGGAGACAATAAAAATCTTAGTTCACTGGACAGAATGTGTGAGATTAATTTTTAATCTTTTCAGTTCCACTTATTAATTCTGTGATGTAGAAGAGGCCATTAGTATCTCTGGGACATAACATTGTCATTTGTGTTCATTTCTAGTTAATGCAACAGCCCTGAGTATGGGTTAAACAGATAATGATTGCTCCATTGTGGGCTTAATGTATATAGTATAAAATGAGGGCAAAATAGAATGTATATATAAAATTGTTGATAATAAGGAAATCTCAATATTACTCAATAAATCCTATGACTTACCATTTTATTCTTTTTGTAACAGGGCATTTTGTGTGTGTGTAATTATATGCATACATTTGGAGAGAAATGATATATTATTCCTTAGATCTGATTCTTCACAGCCTATTCTTTGTTTGGGATGGAAGAGGGATCTGCAATTTAAAAAATGTCTTTCAAATACTGAGTGGACTCTCTCCTGTTCACAATAACCATCATTAATCAACATTACTCTGACACTCTTGGTATGTTGTGTCCACACATCCCTTACTTTCATGAATGCCCAATAGATGTAGAAACAAGATAAAACATCTCATGTGTATGTCATAGACATGTGGACTCTATGCTTGATTAATTGTATTTATATCAAATATTTTAAAACATTGAAGATATGTTTGTGATCAAAAGAATAAAGAGAGGCACAAAGAAAATTGTGCAGGTCAAGCTGTGCCTAAGGCTGAGAAAATTTTTTGAGTTTCACATCATTCCGTACCACAGTGCCACTTGAATACAATTTACCATATTTCTTTTTGCTTGCATAGTGATGTGATTCTTTATTAAAAAAAATTCACAATGATTGAATACTGAAGTTCTAAACTTCCTTTCACTGTCACACCTGTGGAGATGGGTGTAATTCTTTTCATTTTCTTCAAGTAGCATGAACACAGCAAAGGGATAGATTCACATATATTCTGCCTCTCAAAACAGGTCAGTAATATGGAACTAAAATGTTCATTTCCTGACTCCCATCCCAGAGCAATCTTCTCCACCATAGCCATATGGAAATATAATTCCTTATATGATGATACTTTTGGTTTATTTTCATAAATAGATCATTATGCCCCTACTCTAGGGATATTCCTATAGAATATCTTCAGAGGAAGAGGCTGTAAGTAATAATGCAGGACATTGTTTTGCAAAACAAATGCAATTGAATAATTATAAAATTTAATATACATTAAGTTTTGGAAATTAGAAATATGCCCTGTGAATATATTTTATACAGATTTTTAATAAGTGACAGGGAGAGATGCACAAAAATTTTAAAGTGTTTTCACAATAAACTTAGAAGTTAAATGAAGTCATTCTCAAAGGTAATGATTTGCATCAATTAAAATATTTGCAATAGATCTGTGTTCTTCTCAGGGAGATTTACAACAAGTTGCTGATGGAACCTAATCCATTTCAGGTGCAACAGGTGTTGTTTTGTATACTACTTGCATGAGTTTTAGGTACTTTTAGGCAAGTTTTTAGAAACTTTGACAGGAAACTAATCTACTCAAGAAATCTATGATAGTGAATACCCATGTGAACAAGTGCGCAGGAGAATAAAATCATGTAGAGATGCAAAGAATGCCAACTTGTAGGTGACTTTTCAAATCTTTATAAAGTATTAGTTTTGATGTTAATATTATTAAAAATTTTATGTTAATAATAGTGGTTATTATTTACTATAGTATTAGATAATAATAGTGGAGCATTTTCAGAATGCCAGAAAATATTCTATGACAGTGGTTCTCAACTCTGGTCTACAAAATTAGCACAAGAACTTGCAATGCATATATTCTCATTAAATTGGTTTTGGTCTGAGACCTGAGCATCTGGATTTTAAAAAATGTCCCGAAGTAAATCCACAAATAAATGATAGAGAACCAGTGTTTATTAAATTTAAAAGAAAAAAAACACTCAGAATAACCATATAAGGTAGGTAATCATTTTATCCATGAGGGGGAATCACATTATTTGTGGAGGTATTTGCATTAGTTTATGTACATTTTTCTTGAGCTGGCATGATTTCAATTGTGTCTACATTATTTTACTTACTTTTCTGTTTGGCCTGAAAAAGACAATATGCCTAAATTTCTTTCATGTAGCAGAAATAAGAGAATCACAATACAGGGATCAGTCTTCAACTGTAAGAGGGTTTATGATCAGGAAAACAGTAAATTATATTACCATGACAGTGTAGAATACAGAATAAAGAAAAAAGTCAAAAGAGTGTCTTACAAAGCAAGTGAGTTTATGGATATTGTATAAAGCTAATTAAAATAATCCTGTACAAACTTGGAAGTCTCAAAGGTGGTTCTTATCATTTATAATTATTTGAATAATTGATAGTAGAAAGTGCATTTATGTCACATTTGTGGTCTGTATATCATTATATTATTTAAGCTTAACTGAAGTATCATTACAAAAAATGTAATTGCACTTAGGCCAAGGATAGAAATTATGTTAAATTTTTAACATGGAACAAAGTTTGAATGAGTAATTGCATTCTTCAAAGGGAAAAATGAGAAATCCAAGATAAATGAAAAACTCCTTGGAGACAACTGGGTCACCATAATGTCATCAGATTTAATTAAGTATTCAGAAAAGAAAATCCTAGATCTTAATACTTATTTTACCCTAAGTCAAGGTAATTGATATTATTTTCTGAAAAAAGGTACATTTGAATGCTTCTGAATTTCTCGCCAATAAAAATTTTTTCTTTCTTAAATGGGCATGGATTTACTTTCTCTCTTTTATTTTTCTTAAAAGAGTTGGGTTTTACTGGAATCATGATATTCTGAAGTGTAAAGCATCCTTATTTAGAAGACTGCTTCTAAAGTAAGTGCGTATGGATGGAGAGGGTAACAAAAATTTCAATAATGAAAGAGTCTTGAGGAATTGGGTTTTTCATAACAGAGTGATGTTGATAAAGGCTTTGGATTTCAATTGTAAATACTTGTGAATATTTCAAATGAAGGGTTTTTTTTGGTGTTTCATTTTTCTAATTACATTTCTTTTTGAAAAGTTGCTCAAAGAACATGAAAACACAGAATCTCACAAGTTTCTCTGAATTCCATCTCATGGGCTTCTCACAGAACCCAGACCTGCAGCCTGTCCTCTTTGGACTGTTCCTGTCCATGTACCTGGTCACAGTGCTCGGGAACCTGCTCATCATTCAGGCTGTCATCTCTGACTCCCACCTCCACACCCCCATGTACTTCTTCCTCTCCAACCTGTCCCTCTCTGACATCTGCTTCATCTCCACCACGGTCCCAAAGATGACTGTGGACATCCTAACTCACAGCAGAGTCATCTCCTATGTGGGCTGCCTGACACAGATGTCTTTTTACATCTTTTTTGGATGTATGGATCACATGCTTCTGACTGTGATGGGATATGACCGGTTTGTGGCCATCTGTTACCCTCTACATTACCCCATCATCATGAACCCTTTCTTTTCTGTCTTCTTACTCTCAGTGTGTTTCTTAATTAGCTTTTTGGACTCACAGATGCACAATATGATTGCCTTACAACTTACCTGCTTCAAAAATGTGGAAATTGCTAATTTCTTCTGTGAGCCTTCTCAACTCCTTAACCATACCTGTTCAGATCCCTTTACCAATATTATATTAATGTATTTATTTGTTGTGATATTTGGTTTCTTTCCTATCTCATGGAATCTTTACTCTTACTATAAAATTGTTTCCTCTATTCTGAAAGTTCCATCATCAGGTGGCAGGCATAAAGCCTTCTCCACCTGTGGGTCTCATCTGTCAGTTGTTTGCTTATTTTATGGAACAGGCATTGGAGTGTATCTTAGCTCAGCTCTATCACAATCTCCCAGGAAATGTATGGTGGCCTCACTGATGTACACTGTGGTCACACCTATGTTGAATCCCTTTATCTACAGCCTGCGGAACAGGGACATGAGCAGTGCCCTGAAGAGACTCCAAGGAAGAACAGTCTGAAATTAAGACTTTGCCATCCACTGCGAATGTGATAGATGAGAGAGGGGGTGGAGGAAAGGAAAAGTAAGGATTAATATGTGATCTAGCTATCTATCTCTATCTATCTATCTATCTATCTATCTATCTATATATTTGATTCTGGTCCCCAAAAAAGTTGGGCAAGACCTGAATAAATTCAACATGTTAAATACAAATGTTATATATTACAGTAATACTAATAAAAAGGGGGAAAAAGAACATAGAGCAAAACTAAACACCTAGGCCTCTAAATTTGGCCTTTGGTTGCATTATATTTGAGGTTTAATGATTTTAATTCCTCATCACATCTCATAATGGAAAGTAGGTTGAGAGTTGGGGGCTGGAGGAACTGGGTTTTTTTGGGGGGGGGTTGGTACCGGGGATCAAACTCGGGTCCTTGCGCTTGTGCAGCAGGGGGGCGAAACCACTCAGCTAAATCCCAGGCCCTGGAACTGTATTTTTTAAAAATTAATACAAAATATTATTTTGGGAAATTGAAGAATATATAGGGATGGATTAGTGTCTATTGAACACAAATGTCAACATAATTAATGCCAGCAAAATGTGCACTTAAATGTAGTTAAAATGATACCTAATGGTTATGTATATTTTCCCTAATGAACACTGTAAATAAAACCTGACTTTTTAAAGAAGGAAAAAATAAGCAGAGTAATTAGTACACCTCATCCTTATCCTGAGGAGCAGAAGAATCTAAAATGTTTTGTGGATATTATTGCTTTTCTTCTTCTTCCATTATTATCTGGAATCCTTAGGTAATGGGGTAATATGGGCCAATGTGTGTTGTGCATAATGAGTCTTCAAGGTTGTACAATAATCAATAATCAGTCTGTACTTCCAGCCCTTCATTTTGATAGTTCCAGGTCCAGGGTGCCCATTTCTGTGTCCCGCCAATCCTTGGTTTTCTGCATTAGGGTACCCAGATTCAAGACTGCATTGATATATTACTGAAGGCAGAGATTGCATCTGCACTGGGCTTCAGAGAGAGGGGTGTTGGATTGTAGTTTGTGGTCATCACTCAGCAGAGAGACAGTGAAAACCGATACATGTGGAGAAGGAGGAGGGACTATGGGAACCATTGTTTCCTCAGCATGAGGACAATCATGAATGTTTAAGTAGTCAGAGGATGAAAATGTGCAAAGATTCAGCTGCAAGAATGGTGAAGTTTATACACATGGCTGTTGTCGTGGTATCAAAAGTGTCAGTCATAGTTTTCCTTTCTTCCAACACTGACCTCCCATCTGCTATACATTTAACCCACGATAGAAAAAGAAGGGTGTAGGTAAACTATGTCCTAAACAAAAGAATATGATAGTTTGGATGAGGATAATGATGAGGATGACAATAAGCATCAAGTTATGAACCAATATTGAGGAATATCTACAAGACAACATCAGAATTATATGTCCTATGTAATTAGTTTCATTCATTCTGAACAGTATTCTCAAGTATGAGCTCCTGTATTATTCTTATTTCACTGACTAAAGGGGAGCAACATTTTTTTACAATTCATAGCAATCTATCCTTGTGTAGAAAGAAGCGAAGAGGTCTTTGATTTGGTGTGTCTGACTTCTGACCCAGAGAATTCTGGAATATAGTCTCTTGGACAACCCAGGCACACAGTTCACTTCCTTGCCTCTCCAGTAACAGCTCCTTTCTCACTGTCCTCTTCCACTTGGAGGGTATTTGGTGGAGGACGAGAACAATCTGTGGGTGTTAACTGTTGTAGCGATTTTTGCAAAAGGCTGTGATGATAGGAAAGTTCCAGAAGAGAAGTCTCACCAGTCAGCACAGGCCTCTCCCTCTGTCCCACCCAGGGGACCCTTGCAGCTCTGCATCCTTCTCCTCTACTGGGCCAGCACTCTCAATCTCAGAAGGAGTCCTAATGTCAGATATTCAATTCACTGCCACTTAGGGAATGGAAATAATTTAAAATTGACCCTGAGTTGGACCTGGGTTTAAGATGTCTGTACCTCCGCATAAACTTTCTGGAGTTTAGAAAGCAATAGAAAATATTAGTGCACGTTGCCTAGGTACTTACAATTTAATTTGAAATTCTTCTGGCCCAAATTTTATTTCTGTGAAAAGGGTGGTTTGTTAGTATCTCGGGGACTGGACATTTTCTTCTGAGTTGATTTGTGCTTAAGACATCTGCCCTGAGTAAGGAGTAAACTGATACTGGATACTGTCAATGAATTCATATGTGATAAAAAAGAAAAAGCTTAACTAAGACTTGAATATTATTATTAGTAGCAATGGCAAGATTAATCTTGCCATTACAAAAAAAAATCCTGTGAAGTTAATTTTTTCCTATTTTTGTGACAGAGAGTTCTCTCTTGTCATTGAATAATGAGGAATTATTCAATATATGATTATTTTTAAAAGAAAAACAGAAGTTGAGTGGGCACTGGTGGTGAAAAAAGGTGATATATATAAAAATAAAAGAATGATGAAATAGTCCTGGGCATTCAATGTTATATAGCAATAGTTCCTAATGATGAGCCATGAAATTCAATTTAAGTTTTAGAAAATGTAGTTGAGCACTAATATATTAGTTATTAATATTTTGGCAAGGGGAAAATTTCTCATTTTGTAAAAGAATAAGAGAAGCTTTTGAATTTCATTTAATAACATTAATATTTTGTCTTAAAGCAGGAAAGATATTTCTTATTCTCCAATTTTCTAAAAATGTTGAGCTGTATTTTATTGTAATTATGGATTTGTTATATGTGATGTTCTTGTTTATCTAATATTTCTCAGTTATATATCATGAATATAAGTGTGCATAGAAGGAAGTGAATAGCATAGAAAACAATAGAGAAAAATTTCAAAGCATATTGGGTTTGTCCCAGATGAGTAGTATTTCTTTAGGTATATGGAAATCAAATGTGGATAATTTCTTTGTGACTACAGGACATCATTCCTGGTATCTACTTTTCTTGTTTTCTTATCCTAACCCTTTAAGAAGGTGCCCAATCAATACAGAACACAAAATCTAATGCACAGCTCAGAATTTCATCTCATGGACTTTCAGAGGATCCAGAACTGTGCCATGTTGTTCTTGGATTGTTTCTGTCACTATAGTTGGAGACCTGATCATCTTTCTGGCCATCAACTATGACTCCCTCCTCCACACCACCATGTGTTTGTTCTGCTCCAACCTGTCCTTGCCTGACATCTGTTTCATATCTATCCCAGTCCCAAAGATGATTGTGCTCATCCTGTGTAGAAATCCTTCTCCTACAGCCTAAGGAACAGGTACATTAAAAGTGCTGGACTTTAAAGTCATCCAAAATCCAGGTGTGGTGGCACACACTTGTAATCCTAGTTCTCTGGGAGGCTGAAGAAGGTTACCTAGAGTTTGAGCACAGCCTAGGCAATTTGGTGGCTTTGTGAGACCCTGTCGCCCAACAGAAAAAAAAAAGGTAGCTGAGTACAGTTCAAAGGTGCTTGGTTCAACTCCCAGCAGTGGTAAAATATACTAAGAAAGAAAATGCTCCAAGCAGGCACCACAGTAGAACAATCTATTCTCAAGATCTGTGGTATTTTATTTGGAAATATAAGTTGGAGAAAGATGAAAAAATAAACTTCTGGCTCTATAATTTCTGTGTCCACAGTCATAATATTAAGTGGGTTTGTGAGCTTAATTCCTCATCAAATTTCATAGTAGAATGTTGTGGGAAGTCAGACACTGATAGGAGAAGAAGGCATAGAGTGTTTTGGAAATGTGTATGAAATTGAGAAAAGGAAAAATGTGTGCAGTTGTTAGATGGCAATAACTGCACAAAATTTTAAATGTAATAAAATATAATTACATTTAATTATGTTTAATTAAAATTTAATGTAATTAATGGCACTATGTTACACTAAATGATTGCAATGGTGATTTTTACATATGTTTTGCCAGTGTAACCAATATGAATGAAGTGCACGTGGCTTTTACAAAAGTTAAAGACATGAAGAAGGGATTATTACAATACACTTCCTGCTCAGTAGTAGAGCATCTAAAAGTGTTGTGGTCTTTCATTCTCTTTTTCTTCCTGAACTACTACAAGGAAGTCCCTAGAGATCTGGAGAATATTGATTAATAGCTGATTATGACTTCTTTGTATTAGGTCTCCAAATTTATATGATCATCAATAATCAGTCCATACCTCCAGATCTTCAGACCAATGGTTATAGTCCACTGTGTCCATATCTGTTTCTCCCCTGCCCATTTTTATGCTTCAAGATGCTGATATAGTACACCCATCAATCCTGAGGATAGTGCCCAAGTTTTCATTAGGCACTAATCTGAGGACAGGTTTGGATTCTTAGTCTTTGGTCACAGCTCAGTAGAAGTGAAGCTTTACCCAGAAAGAGTTGAGGGAGATGGTGGAAGAAGGATTATAGAAAGATTTGTTTCCCCTCATCAGTACAAATACAACGTCGTGGATAGACAAATGTATGTACATACTTAACTTATCAGGGCATTCGTGTTGTTGTTGGTTGTGATGGAATTTCAGAAATCTCATATAAATTTTTTCCCTCTTATACCTGTTCTACTTTGCATTGACATTTTATTTGTGAGAACAGAATGTTCGTCCTTCCTATTGGTTTCCTAAGTATTCAAGAAGAATTATGCAGGTGATGATAAGTATGAAGAGGAGGAGGCAGTGCCCATAACATCATGAGATATTTCTAAGGGCTTTCTGAATGCTAGTCAATGAGGTATTTGTTCTATATACTTTGTTTTATTTCCTCTGCATAACACTCCCCTAGTTACAACTGTGAAATTATAATTAGTTTATAGAAAAAGTAATATGAAAGCATTATAAGTATAATAAACCAGATTGTCAGGTTCAACAGACAGAATACACATTTGGATTTTTCTGTCTGATTAGAGACATGTGGTATCATAACAGAAGAATTGTTCCCTTCACAATTTTTCCCATGATTCCACAAATAGTTCCCCATTCCCAGAG